TCCGCCCAGGCGACGCTCTCATCAGCGAAACCGGAACCTCGAATTTCGGTCTGTGTGACATTGATTTCCCAGCGGACATCAGGCTCGTTACGCAGATCTACTATGGTAGCATCGGGTTTGCTACTGCTGCTACGCTGGGTGTGGACGTTGCGCGGAGGGAGCTAGACAAGAAGGGAGAGGGACGGACTATTCTCATGACGGGAGATGGAAGCATGGCTTTGACGATTCAGGAGATTGGAACAATGATCAAGGCGAAGTGTAAGGCGATTGTTTTTGTGATTAATAATGAGGGGTATACGGTTGAGAGGTTGATCTGGGGGGCGAGGCAACGTAAGTTTACTCTTTGTCTACATTGAACGCGACACCGAACTAACCACCAACGCCTACAGCATACAACGACATCGTCCCGCACAACTACTCACACCTCCTACCCCTGTACCATCATCCAGACCCTTCATCTTCCTTCCATCGCGCAACCACGCTATCAGAACTCAGCACTATCCTCTCAAAGCCGCAGCTGCAAAACCCGCAGAACGTCCAGCTTGTGGAGCTCGTGCTGGATAAGATGGATACGAGTTGGAAGCTGGGGACTGCGCTCGCGTGGAGGAGCGAGGAGCACAAGGAGTACCTTACCAGAGAAGGGTTTGTCGATACGTATGGCGGGTGGGGTTTGGATGGCAAGGCTGGGGGGAGTGTTAAGTGGAGTTGAGGGGTTGATGGGTCGAGGAACAAGAAAGAGGGTTGTGTGCATAGACGTAGCTGTGGTTGTGTGCATAGATGTAGCTGTTTGTATGCATTTCGATGATAACAAATCATTTATCTCATAGATTACAATCCTTCACTTTGATAGGTCATCATCATCATCGTCCAGCTGTCTCTCCCACTTCCTCCCATCCCTTCGTCTTTCCCTCCACCTCTTCCATACCTAAGCAAACACCCCCAGCAAACAAAACCACACGACAATCAACTCGTATATCATAACAGGCTGCCTCTCCCACCCATACATGACCGCCGCGAAACCCAATCTCAGCGGGATGGTCGAAGCCATCATGCGACGATTACCCTGGAAGGTAAAGATGAGTTGGTACCAGCCTACTGCTACTGCGCCGAGGCCTTTTTTTCCCTCGTTAGTCCGGGGTTGGAGTCACTAAGGGGTGATATGTGGCTTACCCATCGATTGCAACGTTTTATCTGGACCCTCCATACCGGTGATCGCAGAGTACTCTTCTGGGTTGATGAACGGGTAAACGCCGAGGGCTATGTTGACGATGGAGTGGAGGATGAGGAGGAGACGCGCCATGCGCGATATGGGTGACATTTTGGCGGGTATGAACGTATTCGACAGTCTTGAAGATGTTTAAAGAGATGGTATGATTGACGTTTGAGATGTTGCAGCGAAGGATGCAGCTTTCCAAGGCATTGGCACCAACCCCGCTAAGGCAAAGCGTGCCGCTTTTTAGCGCCCACGTGGGCGCGGATGTCTCCTGGCTTGCGAAGTCTTGGTTCTTGAACCACTTCTATCATCATTTACGGTTCGCTGTCCACAGACAGGATTGGTGTCTACGGTCGTGCGCGCATGGAAAATAGACAATGCAGGTACAACTGACGTGCAGCTGACACGCGCCTCAACCACCATACCCAGGATTGCCGAAACTACCACCCGCAGCCCACCCATCCAGATCGTAAAACCACTCTGGACTCCTCCCAAAATGAAAGCCGTCTCCTGAATCCATGGGTACCCCCTGCATGTACGCGTTCATATCGATATCCAGCCCCATGTTCACGTCACCCAGATCGCTATCTAGCATACTCAGTCCGTCCATTGTGCCGTCGAAACAAGGGAAATCTATACTGTTGTTGCTGCCGGTTTGGGCGCCGGTGCCAGTAGGTAGATGTTTCCCAGTAATGTCATCAGCGCCCTCGCCTCGACCATGCTCTCTTCCTGCGAAGCTGCCGCTGGAAGGACTGAGATCGATGTCTTCGCCGTGCTCTTCGCGGTATACTGATGCTAGTATCTGACCCATTTCCTTGGTAGATGACTTTGCTGCTTCGAGCACAGCTATTTCGGGGTCGGTGCCGGCTATCAAAGCGTCGATGCGTGCTAGTGCGCAGTTAATGAAGACAACGCCCTTTGCATTCGTTTCGCCATTTTGGACACGGGCAACTGCTGTGTGTCGGGATGATTCTAGGATTTGACGTAGGGCGTGGTACTGTGGTGGTAAGGATGTCAACCCTGTAGATGAAGATGTTGTTGTTGGGCGTGTGGATATAAGGGGAGCGAATAGCGCCAATTCTTCTTTCCTCTCGTTGATCTGAGAGTTGAGTTCGTAGTATACGGTTGACATGGCGTAGAGGAAGAACGACTTGAAGAACCCCACGCATCGGTGCGTCATGCGCGTCCAATCGTCCTCTTCTCCTGGTCCTAGCTCAGTTGCTGGCGCGTAGATTGCTAGTGATGTATCGAGACATATCTTCCTGGAGTAATGATAGCGTGGGTTTTCGCTTGCTTTGGAGAAGTAGGGGCGGTGGAGGCAAAGGACGAAGCGTCGGACTAGGGTATCAGACATCTTGATCTGGAAAGGCGTGATGTTGTGTCCTGCTGCTAATGCTGATTTGAAGAACATTGTTTTCTCACGACAAACGCTGATGAGTTTGGTGCCTATACGTAAGACATCGTCGTATGATAGGTCGAAGCGCAGGTTGTTGATTACCCTAATGATCTCAAGGCGCGTGGGAAGGGTCTGTGTAAAAGCAATCTGTATGCTGCTGTCCGTGAATACGGTTGCTGGCTTCACATCGAGTGGTGTGTCTATGCCGTTTCCCATATCTTCGTCGTTGATGTTGGAGGGTGGCTTCGTATCGTAGTCGTTCACCGAGATCATAGGCGGCATGCCCATGTCAAGACTACTTTGAGCAGTGATTTCCAGAACAGTCGCCCAGAGTCTGCGTCGCATCTCGCCATGGTAGACACTGATCTTTGGAAAGTGAGATGGGTCGCGATGTAAGCCCAGATGCATCGCCGTCCGCAGCATCGTACCTGCAGGTATCCAGATATGATCACCATCGATGCCACATACTTGACGTGCAATCAGAATCAATATCTGTATCTGCAGTCCTATCATGTTGAGCCGTGACTTCGCATGAGGTGCACACTGCCATTCTGCCGCAGCTTGGATCCATTTCGCAGCTGAGACACGAAGTTTAGCTTGGTCGGGGCCATCATAGAACGGCACGGCAATTGCGCATACCAGCAGAAATTTGTGAATAATGGACGGCTTTGCAGGCGTGGTGCCCAGCCAGTAGGCATCGTAGACTCTTTTGAAGGAAGGGACGTGTAGAACGCGAAAGACACCTTCGAACGTGCGGAGATAACAGTCGACCAGTGCGTCGCTGATTTTTTTCGGGGGGATACACGCCTGGAGCTCTGGAGAGATGGAAGGCTGCGACATGCGAGAGGCCTTGATGATGCGAGCCATTCGCTTGACCTCTGAGACAGTAGCATACAGCTCAGTCGATTTGTTCCTATATGCTACAATTAGGGCTACTGTATTTAGAGAAAGACTGGAAAAATGACATACACCTCTTTCCTGTTTGTATTGTGGTTCGTTGTAGTGTTTGTGTCGCCGAGAGCGTCATACTGCTGTCCGTCAATTGAGTCCCTTCGAACAGAGGAACCGAGACAAGGGAGGTATTAAGCACTTACAGGATCGATAGCGTTCATCCAATGACTCTGACCATAGTACTTTGCCTTCACAAACTGGGCGCTTGTGTCACTTGCACTTTCCCGTCCCGGCGACGTACCAGTCCTTGGGTCATCGTTTAGAGTAGCGCTTGCCAGTCGTTCTTCCAGACCCTGGATCCTATCCAACAAGCTGTTGATGATAGAGGCTTGCGCAGAGTCTGAGTGCGAGTTCAAGCTAAAAGCCGGTCTATCGGCGGGGAGAGGTTTCAGCTGGCCGTCGCATTCTCCAAGAAGCCCAGGTGCCACATAACGATTGACGATTGCATCAAACTGACTGGAATGCTCGGGCTTATGAGGAGAAGACCGAGCCGGATTCTGGTCGTGGTCGTTGCTGCGACCTGTAGAGGCATCATCCTCGGGTGACCTTTGGGGTTCTGACCGAATCCCCGGACGTGGAGGTCTAAATGAGCATGTCGCTGATTTGATCCTAGTACAAGCACCGCAAGGTTTCCCTCGGTCGCATTTCACCTTGCGCATGCGACATTCGACGCATGATAGTGCTGGTCTTCGCCGACGTTTCGCTGGTCCGTTACCATCTGTGTCTGCGGACTGGATGGTAGGTTGCTCAACCATTTTGGCCCACGAATATAAGAGAATTAGTCGCGGTTATCTTGACTGCGTAGTGAGAGTCGTATACAGAATTCAGAGATTCTGACATGGTTGCTGGTAGATGGACAGGCAACTGTCGGTGTTCTGTGGAGCAGCTCGGTGCTCGGTCATTTCGGTCATCTCGCCACTGAGTCCGCGGCAGGGGCGTTGGCCTGCTCCTTCCGTCTCTCGTCGCAACAACACCATCATTGCGGCGAAGGATTCCAGCTCGCATTAGCCTGGGAACGGTGTGCTTACACAGTCGCGTGTACTGACAGAGCGATAGAGTGTATGGCTGTGCCTCGCGACATACCTCCTTTTTGGGTAGCGTCCCAGCCTCCGCCAGCTGAGTCCCATTCACATTAACCACAAACGGTGCCCACAGCCTGACGCAATCATCAATACCCAACCCCTAAATGGGACTAGCTAAACCTTGAATCGCATCAGGTCCGAATCAGAGAACGGTATTGACTAATTAGATAATGTACATTGTCTAAAGAGTTCTTGCAATGGTCTGTATTCAAGTACATCTGCTTATATCCTACAGGCACAAAGCGCCCCGAAATGCACCAACAAGCTACCTAGGCAATTCTGCCTGACGATGATCATACTAGGCCCCCAAACCATCCACCTCACCATACGCTATAACGCACAAATATCTGCGCGTTTCTTACACACTCTCCGCATCAACACAGCTGTATGATGAGGCATCAGTCGCAGCACCACCCTGGTAAACAGATACCAGCGGGTAAGGGCAAAGGTCCCTCGACAGCACTGTTCCATTGACAGGTTGCGTTCCAACTGCCGGTAGGGTGTCTGGAGCTGTACCATTTTCGACCCAAGCGACAAGTTGCTGGAGCGCATTATTGACGGGTGCAGGACCCGGGCCACCTGCGCAATGATGAAGGCCAGGCGCAAGGAACAACCTGTAATACTCATCCACATCGGCATCCAGCGCGGCTACACGGTCATAGTACTGTGTTGACCCACCTGAAGGAATCAGGTCATCTGCGATGCCGTGCCAGGTGAGCAACTTCCCTCCTGCTTCCTTGAAGTCTGAGAGATCCGCATCGTTGGTGTTGATGATCGAGTCCCACTGCTGTTGGCCGGCGTACATGTAGTCCGGTAGTCGATCCGCGGTAATTGTGGAAATGTCAAAACTAGCGTTCTTCTCGACGAAAAGCTGGAAGAACTCTGCGCCGAGTTGCCAGGCAGCGGTGGTGAGGCAGGTACCTGCTGCTTGGCAGTCCGTGTCGGTCGTTGCCTGGAGGGGTGCGTCGAACGCGTATCCTGGGTAGATCTTCTTTCCCCGTCTGTTGGAGACACCATACCATGTAGCGTTGGCTACAATTGCTGTTGCGTTGGAAATAATATTCGAGCTGCTATCTCCGCAGTTGGAGGGCTGCCCGACAACGGTGAATGGGTAGAAAGTACACAACTCTGGGATGGATATGATCGAGTCTTTGACGCCGTCCAGTTCATCGCAGGCGGCAATTGCTGCGATCCTAACCGCTTCGAACTCGCAATTGGGCGGGTATTCGCCGAGCGTGTTCATTACAGCTTGAGCATGAAACAAGCTTGCCAAGAGCGGGATAATGTTCAGCGCGGGTGCTGCAGCGATAATACCATCAAACGCTTCAGGGTAACGTTGAGCCAGCATCATGCCTTGTCTACCTCCCTGGGAACACCCAGTCCAGCTGTTTCGGTTGTTAGCCTGTGCGTCCCAGACACACGATGAAGCGTTGACCGCGAGTAACATCGCAATGTCAAGGTCATACATACTAAGAGTAAGCGGGAGCCTTCTGATAAAAGCTCTCGGTAACCATCTTCCCGAATATAGAGAGCTCGTTCAAAGTAACAGAACCAAAGTTCTGTAAAGCAATCACATCGACATTACCCGGAGATTTGAGCGCCCAAGGAAGAGCGGATACTTCAGTTGCATTATGGCCACCGTCGGTGGAAGCTGCCGCATATCCCTGAATAATGGCCGGGAGTAAGCTCTGATCGAAAACACCAGCGCGCCAGCCGCCGCCTCCCACACCATTGAAGCGTCCGTTCCACTGCTCCGGCAGCCATATCTGGAGGTTGACTGTGTCGTTCTGCCCTGGATGGGTGTAGGCCATCTCTACACGGCAGTAGGAGATGTTGTACGATGAGACTCCAAGAAGCGGCACGAGTTGTTCGGCTGGGATAGGCGAGCCTTCTGGTGTCCATTGTGTCTTAGGCTCCGCAGTAAACTTCGTGATTGCCGTGCCATTGAGGTAAGGTTGTGCAAGGCTTGAACAAGCCAATCCGTGCGCTGTTTGGGCTGTTAGAAACAGAGATCATGCCGAATGGATCGGACTCAACATACCTAAAGCCGAATACATCTTGTTCAAGAAAAGACACGGTTCGTGCGAGATAGGGATTTGATTTTGAAATAGGTGATGACTCTCTCTAAGGTGTGCAGCAGGATGGTGCCTGCGACAACATCACTTATATACGACATGTTTCGTTAGCTGCGATGGGAGGTGGTTCGTCAACACCTAGCTTTTTCCATTATGATGACAATAGCGGCATAGCCGACCTCGCGAGATGGTGGTCCATCAGGGCAAACGAAAACGAATAAACGATTTGCGTGCATTAGCAGCACTGGGCGATGTGATCGCTGGTAATCCTGCCTTGTCCTTCTGGAGCATAACTACTTCGGCAAGGCGGATGTTACTCTTCCGGTGCAGGACCGGTAAACGAGAACGAGTACCTCTTTGATCGGCATCTTTAGCGTCAACCTACCAAATTAGGCATCCTTTTGGCACCAGGCACCAACAAGTCTCGCCCCCGCATCACGTCCAAGCCCATGTCGTTCTCGTTTACAAAAAACCCCAGGCTCACGGAAGCTTACAAACGAAATCACACCCACCGATAGGAGGAAACCGGATATGCGAGTGCCGAGAATTAGTCGGAATGGCAGTGAAACGATTCCATAGGAAGTCGCGGGCTGGATGCGACACGTGCAAGCGACGGCGGGTCAAATGCGACGAAGCCACACCTAAATGCGGTGCTTGTGCTCTACGACAGGAACCATGCACATACCCACCACAGAGTATCTCGACTAGGTCTAAAAGGACAGCGAAGACGGCCTTGACAACAATAAGCTCATCGTCATCATCACCACAGTCACATGATGAACCGAGCAAGTACACCTGGCATTCCCTCTACGATGCCTACAGCGGCCCATCCTCCCGTCTAGCCACCTATGATGCGACACGAACCCTCGAACTACGCCTCATGCACCAATGGACTACAACCACCTACCTCACCTCCGTGCACCGCAACGCGCTCATCTTCCGCGACTACGCCGTTACCAAAGCGTTGCAACACACCTACCTGCTAGACGTACTCCTCGCCTTCACCTCCTTACACAGCGCCAGTCTCGCCTCCTCCACCACCGCTTCCCACGACCACGTCGCCGCCGCGCTGCACTACCAGAACAGAAGTATATCCGAGCTTAATGAGCAGGTGTCGCTTGCTTGTATTTCGAAAGAGAATCTCGATCCGGTTTGTCTTATGACTGCTCTTCATGCCGTTGTTGCGCTTATCGCGAGTCTGATTCCGGCCACGCCGGGTGAGACGTTGGAATCTGTGTCGAAGGTACTAATGCGTGTGAGGAGGTATACGATGGGTATGAAGGAGATAGTGGAGGAGCATAGTGCGTGGGCTAATAGTGGGGAGTTGAAGCAAATACTTGGAAGTCCTGTTGTTGAGTTGGTGGGAGAAGAAGGCAGGGCGTTCACGGCGGAGAAGCTGCGCGCGTTGACTGATGCTATACTCGCGAATATGGATCTTGATGATGCCGCGACGCCGTTCTTTCGTGGTACCCTGGAGAAACTGGAGAAGGCGTATATGGATAGTCATGGGCATTCGGTTGTTCCTTGGTTGGGGACTGTGGAGCCTGAGTTCTTTGAAAAGGCGGATATGGGGCAGGTGCCGGCGCTGGTTATACTGGCTTGCTGGGGCGCGCTTAACTGTGTTCTGGAGGATATGTGGTGGATGCAGTATTCTGGGAGGAGGATTGTGGAGGAGTTGGCTTGCCAGCTCGAGGGCTGTGACAGGCGGTGGAACGAGATCCTGGATTGGTGTTACCAACAGGTTGGATTAAATGGCAGAGGTCAGTAATTGTAGTAGAAAGGACGACCGAGGCGGGTCTGGAAAGTTTATGTCGTTCTTTTCTAGAGGATGTATGAATTGCATCGTAGGCGAAACAGTCCAAGTCATACTCGTTAGCTCGTTCTCGTTTACGCAAGGCGCTGGGATTTGATTGCGGTGACGAGACGTGGAGGGATTGGTGTGAGCCTGCAAGACTAGTGTGTGAACCCATGTGGTACCCACAAAGGTACTGGGGAGATTGAGGTAACTAGCTCTACGTTAGCATCTAAGCCCGCTTGCAGCACCATCTCTTCCACTTCCTCTACACCAACACCTCGCTAAATGCCACGACAACTACTCATACACCGCATAGCCACTAACCCTCATCTACATGTCCTTTGTCAAATCGTAAATCTTCTGAATCTCCTTAAGCTCGCCCTCGTGGTCAAACTTGAGGTCCTTCAACAATCCGTCTCCGAATCCAAAGACCCAGCCGTGCACGACAGGGAACTCGTTCTCAGCCCAACACTGCTGCACAGCCGCTGTCTTGACCACGTTCCGACACTGCTCGTACACGTTGAGCTCAACGAGCTTGTCGTACTTTTCCTCCTCTGTGCCGCCGTTGGCCATAACATCGTCGAGCTCTTTCTGGTGCAGTCTGTAGACATCGCGGATGTTTCGGAGCCAGGGGTTCAGCAGACCCATGTCCTTTGGTGTCATGGCGGCCTTGACACCACCGCAGCCGTAGTGGCCGCACACGACAATGTGCTTAACTTTGAGGTGGCGGACCGCGTAGTTGACGACGGACATGACGTTGAGGTCGATGTTGTTGACGAGGTTGGCAATGTTGCGGTGGATGAACATCTCGCCGGGTTCGAGACCGGTGATGGCTTCGGCGGGGATGCGGGAGTCGGAGCAGCCTGTAGGTATTGGATTAGCAAGTTCTAGGTGGTGGGTGGTATAATGGAGGAGTGTTATAGGGCAATTGAGTCATTCCAGATGCAACTCACCAATCCATAGATACTCGGGTGCTTGTCCTGCACTCAGATCCTTGAAGAAGCCTGGGTTCTTGTTCCTCATCTCATCGGCCCATTTCTTGTTGTTTTCAAAGATGCGGTCATGGCTCTGCTGCAGGTACTTGCGCACCTCCTTTGGCTCTTCCTTTCCAGTCATTCTGGGCCAGGAGAAGTTTCGTTTGGCGGTAGTATTCTGTGGGTTGGATGCTTGCAAGAGGGATGCTGCCCGTCCGGTATGACAGGTTCGCAGGGAAGTCTGATGGAGTAGAGAAGAGATCGGAGAAGAAGTATGCAGTAGCGGTGTTGAGCTTGATAAGAGACGAGAGGCGGGAGCGAAGGACTGCCCCGCTGCAACTAGCTCTCGGAGAGCGTGGGGTAACCGGTGCGGCATGACAGGACAAGAAAAAACGACGCGCAAAGGCAAAACGCCAATCCCAGAGCTGCGGGCAGTTTCGGTTTTGTAAGGGAGGGGACGCGACGCTGAAATGCTCGAATTATTTTGCTTCTGCTGCGCGCCGATTGGGCGCTCTGACGTCAAAGGATTGGCTAAGGATCTTTGGACCCCTGTTGTCGATCAGCGGGCGATGGGTCTAGCAACCAGATCTGGGTCAAACCATCGAGACGGTGCAGCCTCACAATATCGCTACGAAACAACCCAAGCATTACCGGCACATCAAATCCGTTAGCTGGTACACAGTATTCGCCAGCTGCACAAACAATATGGTTCTTGACGACGCCAAGAGAACCATCGTATCGCGCCATGCCGACCGTCTGTTGAGCACAAGGGCTTGGCCCAAGACGATCTGTCCCTCCGAAATTGCCCGCGCACTGTCAACAGAGGAGCTGCATGCATTGGACGCGTCAGAGTGGAGAGATACCATGGATGATGTACGACAGATGGTGTGGGAGAAAAGAGAGGCTGGAGAAGTCGAGGTAATGCAGAAAGGCGCCGTAGTGGATGTGGAGAGTTTGGCGGATATCAGAGGGCCGATAAGAGTGAGGAATGTGAATGGATAATACAACACCGTATGGCTGGATACTCTTGCTGACGATAGCATGTATGGTTGCGATACAATACGAAAATTGATTAGTCGTCCCAATTGACCCGATGGGCTGACCTTGAAGAGCCGCACCCCACAAACTCTGACAAACTCCAATATATGCATGCATCCAAACCTTCTTAAGTTCTCAAACTTAGGTATCAGGATGCTTGGCGCCACTAGCATCCAGTCCCTGCCACTTCTCTTCGTCCCATCCCATGCTGGGATCTGTTGCATTCCCGGCTTTGCCCTCTTCTGTAAGATTCTTGATATCGCTCCAATACTCGAGCTTCTTACACTCGTTATCCGCGGCTTCAATAGCTTTGAGCAGGTTGTTGATTCTGCGTTCCTCGGCGTCACCTTCCGGCTTGTGGTCCTTCTTGTGTTGCTCGCGGTGGTCTTTGGCGGCCTCGAAGCGGTCCATGAGTGTGGAGAGGAGTTGGCGGCGCGAATTCTGGAAGATGAGCATCGACATGATGGACGGTATCTGCATTCGTTAGCTGTGTCTTCATAGTGATACAACATGCATACCTGTTCTGGGAGGTAGTGCAGCTCCTCCCCTCCATCGTCGATGAACTTGTGTATGTAGATGATCTTCTCGCGATCAATGGCAGCTGCCTTGAGTTTTCTCATCAACGTCGCAATATCCCTAATCTCCTCGTCTAGACTCGTCTGTGCGCTGTCGTCCAACAGACCGCTGCCAGTACCAAAGGTCGCTGATCTAGCCAGTGTCGTGCCGATGCTGAATGTCTCGCCGAACATGCGCTCCTTTGCATTCTTCTTGGTCTTTGGTGGCAGCCTCTGCTTGACCCGCCTCCGTAGCCAGCGTCGCCGCCGAACGAAGCTGTGGAACCAAGGGTGGTTGCCATGCCAGGCTGAGCCCTTGAAGAGCAAGCTGTACTGCCAGCCCTCTTCATCGACATCCAGACTCATGTCGACATACCAGCTCTTCCAGTCCCACACCCAACTCGGGTCTGGAACTTGTGCATTTGTGATGTTGACTGCTGAGGGCTTGAATTTGGCATCCTGCCATGGCGCAGGGTCGATTCGCAGATTCCATAGCGCTTTGGACGAGAAGAGGGGTATGCCGAAAACGAACCAACCGCGTTGGTTCTCGTAGAGGATGTCGATGTGCGAGTCCGATGTGGTTGACCGCTGTTCGGGTTGTGTAGCCGAGGTCGGTGTGTT